CTCTCTCTCTCTCTCTCTCTCTCTCTCTCTCTCTCTCTCTCTCTCTCTCTCGTTAACATTTCTCTTACAACAAAGCATAGCCTTTGTATCTTGAACCCCAGGGGAGGAAAAAAGTAAAGCAGGGGTCGGAAGGAAAGGAGAGAGAGAGGGGGAAGGGGGCAGAGGAAGAGGAGAGGAAATTTCAGAGGGGGGATTCCCCGTGCTGCTCCGCAAATTCGTGCTCTCCGCCCTTCATGTGTAAATCAATGATGAGTCAGTAGGAGATGAATGTGCAGACGGGCGTACCCTGGGCCACGATTTCAACAGAGAGAACAGTTTGTGTTCTCTACATCTATTTTTTCCGCATAATATAATTTGTTTTGCTTCTGTGGCGGCACACAGAACGTGTGTAAGAATATGTTTTTAGCTTTAGTTTTTCGGCATTTGCAAAACAGTTCGGTCATATTCGTGCTCGCTGAAAATTAAAGGCGCTACTTGAGAGTTAAATACGAATAGAATGAGGAGAGGCAGGGACGATTGAAGTCTGATATGAACAAAGAGCAAACCACACGAGAGCACCTGCCAACCAGCCACTAGCTTTAGTTTTACGGCACTTGCAAAACAATTAGGTCATAAAAGTGCCCAAGATTACAGGTGTTACTTAAAAATAACAAACAAAGGAAAAAAGAGGAGAGACAGGGATGATAGAAGTTTGATGAGAACAAGGACAAACCACAACAGAGCACCCGCCAGCCACCCACTGAAAATGTTTTAATGGTCGGTCTAATTTAAATGGCCTTGGTGCTGTCTCCGTTTATGAAAACGTTTGCTGTTTTTTTACGAGCACGAATGACATCATGGGTACCCCCATGTTGGCCCTACAGAGAGTGGAGACCCTTACCCAACGGGTCCACTGAGACGGACACGGTAAGAGGTGGGCCAAATCCAGATAATCTATAAGAATAACCGCATAATTTTCATAGAAACATTATCCAAATTCACAACCCGCCCGGCTAAAATTGAGCAAGCAGCTTTCCAATTCTCCACGTCATATTGCAGATACACACACTTAAACACACGTACACACACGTACACATACACACACAAACACAGACACACTGTCACACACACACACACACACACACTTACAACCCCC